TGATGCAGCGCTCTCTCTCTCTCTCTCTCTCTCTCTCTCTCTCTCTCTCTCTCTCTCTTTCTCTCTCTCTCTCTCTCATCTACCAGGTGTCCCAAGACAAGGGGGTGAAAGTCGTGCAGTCCGCCCGGTTTTTGCATTGAAAACAGTAGGCACCGGGATGAGGATTTGACTCTAGTTATTTTTATGGATTCTTGGTTTTGCTAGCATCCTGCTGTTCTTGGTACAAGCGATCCAGCTCCCCTCACACCCTTGGAATCCCTCCTTACTACCCCCCTACCCCCAGGTAAAATACCCTCCAACGGGAACCCAAGCCAGGCTTTGATGACACGCAGCTGTCACTCCCCAGCACCGCTCCAGTCTCTCCCTTTCGTTCTCCACCTTACTCTGCAAAGGCTGGTCATCCGGTAGGCTTCCAGAATGTTCCCACAGAATCCAGCGGTGCCACCTGTGTCTCACCTGGGAAGGACTTTGCCGTAGCCGCGTTTGTGATGGATGTCCCGGCAAAAGCAGTTTCTGGTTAAGCAGACGTTAGGAAATGCTGAGCCAACTGTGTCTGTGCCTTGTGCATGCGTATTATTTTATTTTTGTTTTTGTTTGTTTTGAGACAAGGTTTCTCTGTGTAGCCCTGGCTGTCCTGGAACTTGTTCTGTAGACCAGACTGGCCTTGAACTCAGAGATCCTCCTGCCTCGACCTTCCAGGCCCCGCTGCAGTCAGTGCTTCTGGCTGGTGAATCATCTCTCCAGCCCACCTGGATTTCTTAGATGATAAGGTTCTGAGAGCATCCCTTACGGGAGTATCCATTTATCTTCGTAGAAAACGTTGTCGTCGTCAGGGTAAGCAAAGGAGATTTCGTAGGCAGGGGGTGGAGTCGTGGGCTCCGATTTGGGGGCCGCCCTCAAGCTTTGCAGATCAGGAGCCGTGGATACAACCCGTGGACCTCTAAGTCGAAGAGCTCTCCCAGGGTTTCCTCTGCGAGACACGGTGCCCTCTGAGCCCACTCGCCTTTTCAGGCTTCCTGGGCTGGGCCTCTCTGGCGGGCTAGGCTGTGCCCCCTCCTCGCCTGGGGCTGATACCACACTGCTGTAAGGGGGTGGTTGCTCCAGCTCTTGGACGTGGGGCTGTGATTGTGAGTCCATCACCACCACCGCCTGTTCATAGGTTGGCACCTCAAAAGCTTCATTGTCCCTGTGGGAGGAGAAATATGGCCGTTAGTGGCTGCCTGAAAGGAGTCTTTTTTTTTTCTTCCTGTTCCACTCTTGCAAAAGACCCCTCTATTGTCGGCTGACTGTTGCTCTTAATAATATCAGTGATGGAGGAAAGCAGAATCGTGGCTTCAGAAACTACGGGCAGAGAGGAAATAAGGGCCTATGGTAGTGGTTCTCAACAGAGGGCCACGACCCCTTTGGGGGTGGGGTCTCATCAGACATCCTGAAGAAGACTAGACACATACATTATGTTTCATAACAGTAGCAAAATTACAAAGTAGCAGTGAAATAACGTTATGATTGGGGCTCACTACAACTTGAGGCGCTGTATTAAAGGGTCACTGTATTAAAATGAGTGCCTATTAGGAAGATTGTGAACCACTGGCCTAAGGGCATCTTCCTGTCAACCTGTTCTTCCCCATTAACTCACCTTGCATTGCCCGAGGCCTCTGGATTCTCAGTCTGCCTTGAGCTCTGTATTGATTGGAGGACCCGGTCCACAACACAGGACAGGAGGCAGGCAAAAAAGCAGAAGCCAGCCAAGCACAGGAAGAAATAAGCAACAGGAGCAACATCAGGCTGTATGACCAGTAAAGCCAGACCCAGGAGAAGCGAGGCGCTGCTCAGGAAGAGAAAGGGCTGCTTCAGTTTCCCCCACAACCGCCTTGGCACCATGGTCCCTCCCAGGGCACCTGCAGAAATACACGCAGTTGTGTGTTAGTTGGACGCTGGCACCCTAGCAGTGCAAGACCCCAAAGTAGAAATATGATGTTCCTCTGTTTAGGTTACCCGTTTTCAGTCTGAAACATGGTCTTCTGGGAGCTCTATCGTTCTCTCGGTTATTGGTGTGGAAAGCGGGGAACCCAGTCCAGTTAGGACTCTCAGCCTCAGGTGCTATGTCTTTCTTCTTCTCTTCCCCTGCAGTTTCCCTGCCAGCTCCCGAGTACACCATGCAGGATCCAGGGCCAACTAAACTACCTTGCCCGTGGCCTCAGTGCACACAGGCATCTCTGGAATCCAGGTGACGGGTCAGGCTTTCCCCTTTTTCTGTGCTCGTCAGACCTCCTTCCTTCTCCTCCCAGTCAGGCCCCCCAGTTTGACCCCGCTGGAAAGAGGGAGAGTGCTCATCACTTACCTGTCAGCCCCACTTCTGCTGTCTGCCACAGTTGAGTCAACCCATGCTCTGGATGGAGGAGAATGTGAACACAAGGCCACAGGGACACCAACTAAGTGCGAAAGAATCTTAGAAAAGGCCTAGGGCAACTACCAGAAGTCCCAATGACTTTCTAAATCCCACGTAGTCCAGACACAAGCCCCTTCCCCCGAGTCATTAAGCTCTGATTTCAAGTTTCCTGTCAGCACAGAGGCGGGGCGGGGCGGGACGGGGCAAGAAGGGGACACCTTTTCTCCGAGAAAGCAGCCACAGTCAATCTCAAGACAGCTGCACCAGGCGAACTCCCTGCCGGTTCCCTGAGTTCCCTGGAGCAAGAGCTCCAGGACCCTTTCCACCCACACCAGCCCGGCTCCTGCGGCCTGCGCCCCGCCCCTCCAGGAGGCCTCAGGAGCTCTGGCTCACCTGTCTTCTAGGGACGCCGAAAACCAGTCACAGACCTGGAACTCCGGGGCAGAAGGCGGGGCCCACTTGCCCCACCCTCCCTTCTGCCCCAACCCTTCCTTCAAGCCTAGTTTTTCTCCACCCGGCTCCCCCAGACTGACCTGCTACTGTTACTGCTCCGCCTAGGCTTCCTCTTCACCCACCGCTACAGCCCTGTCCCCTCCTCCTCTCAGTGGCCTTTGTACTTGGGCCTGGAATCGGAATTAGTCTTTCCCTCATCTTACTCAAAGCATCTTGGGTGCTGATCACAATCCTAAGCACAAATACCTCCTGATTTGTTTTGTACTTGTCTTTCCTGATTGACTGGAGCAGACAGTGGCGTATTTACAATGCTGGGCCCAGAGGGAGCCATGGTGGAAATCAGAGCTGTGCCTCATGCCTCCACAGCTGCGTCTGTGGATTCTTTGTCTAGGGGAGAGGTGTGCTCTTGTTTCCCAGCTCAGTTCTTACAAATCCAACTCCTAGATGAAGCCTGCTTTGAAGTCTGCGCTGCATAACCACACTCTTACTCTCTCTGCTCCAGCATTTGCCTGGTGATATAGTATTTTCTGTTTTTTTTTTTTTTTTTTTTTTTTTTTTTTTTTTTTTTTTTCAGTTCTGCTCTGAGTTTTCCCAAGAGAAGTGATTCTTTTCCATCTTCTTCGAGTCCCTGAAAGTAAGTGGATTCCTGACATTGGATAGCTTCGTGCGGTTGAGATCGAGAGCTGTACTCACTCCAGCGCTCTAGTTGTGGGTCTGGCTGTGAGAAGGAGGCGGGGAAGGTGGCTGGGGCCTTGCTGTGTCCAGAGTCAGAACAGAGTGGACTCTGTTCCTTCGCTGCGTTAGCAATGGACAAACCCGAGAGAGACTGGAGCGCAAATATAATCCAGGGTCTCCAAGAAGAGTTGTGGGGGCCCTAGACAAGATTGGGGAGAGGGAGGGGAGAGAGAGAGAGAGAGAGATAGAGAGAGAGAGAGAGAGAGAGAGAGAGAGAGAGAGAGAGAGAGAGAGAGAGAGAGAGAGAAAGAATGGGTTGTGGTGGAACTTGTGAGTGAACCTCGGTCCGAGCTTGCTCTGGAGGAAAGGAGGGGACAAGAAAGGCCACAGTGCCCGTGTGAGGTTTAGCTATATATAAAGTAGGAATGAGAAGAGAGAGACAACTTGTTATTTTGCTTGCACCAACGTATTTCTTTTGTACCAGTTTCCTTACCATTCAGCTCCTATGGAGAAAGTATAGCTGGAATCCAGAATCAAGACTTCAGTTAATGCTTCACCAGAAGGAAGTTGGTGAGGAGCCCTTGGTGTAAATTTTCTTAAGGTGTGAGTTTGGGGAGGGAGAGGAATGAGGTAAGAGGCAAAGGGCCTGAGGGTGTGGGTAGGAAAGAGTGCCTACAGCATGCCTTTCTGGCTGTGCTCCTGAAGGGAGAGCTAGGACCTTTATAGCTTAAGGCTCTTGGTTGCCAGAGGAGGTTGTAACCTTGAGATTTGATAACTGTGATAAGCACCAGGTGTAAGTCAGAGAGTCTGGACTGTCTGCAGTCTGTGTTCTTTAACTCCCTAACCCAGTAATTCCAAATCAATTGCATTAGTTTCAGTTATAAAATATTAAAAGATAAGGGAAAAATGAAGACTAGTAATTATATTGATACCACGCAGAAGTTTTACAACTCCAGGCTGTTCACAAAACAGACCATCCTCTGGCTCATGCCAGTGTACATTCATGACTCGGAAACTTTCAAAAACTTTAGAAATTAGGTGGCATATATTTCACTGGATGATAAAGTCTTTACCAGAGTAATTTCTGTTTAGGGATCAAACTCAGGGCCTTTCATAGATTCAACAAACCCTCTCAATGATATATTCTCACCCCCATTTTATTTCTAAAATCTATGAAACATTTTACTGAATGGATATGCCATAATTCTGTTGACATACCATTCTGAAGTTTTACTCCATAACAGTCAGCTATTTTATTCACTTTTGTCATTAGAAAATATGCTAGAGGAGACAGCAAGAGATTGCCAGGGCCAGAGTAAGGGTGGAGCAGAGGACTCAGTGGGGTTCTAGTCTAGTGACATTCTAGTATTAGATAGTAGTGATGACTTGTGTATTTCAAAGGCTATTCAGTGCCCTGAATGTCTTACATGTCCCTTCTCCTAGTCTTTATGGACTGAATGAGGAATTCTGAGAAGCGAATAAAATCTAATGTGAGTTTTTATTGAGAGACCAATAGATGCAGAAGTTTTTATTGCCCTGAATACAAATGGCCAGTATTCACTAAGGGTTCACTTCCCTTTGTTTCTCACCGGCTTAGTGTCTGTATTAGTTACTCTTCTGTGGCTGTGATGAGACAAGGGCTAAGGCAATTTAAGGGAGGAAAGGTTTGTTTTAGCCAAGGGTTTAAGGTTCTAAGGTCTTTTGTGATGGAAAAGATGTGGCAGATCAGGAAGCAGAGAAAGGAGAACGCTGGTGTTCATCTAGCTTTCTGCTTACCCTTCCTGTGTTGATTCTGTCTGGAACTCCAGCTCGTGTGTGTGTGATGGACTGCCTACAACCAGGGCAAGTATTCCTTCTCAGTTAAACATCCCTGGAAACACTGGTAGACACACCCAGAATATGACCTACTAATGCCCTAAGAGTTTTTTTTTTTTTTAAATCCAATCAAGTTAATAAAATTGACCATCACAGTATCTTTAGCCTTTGACAGGTCCTACTGAGTTCCTTTACCCCCTGTGCCCATTATTCCCACTTAGGGTTTATATTGCTGTGATAAACACCCCGGTCTGAAGCAACTTGGAGAAGAAAGGGTTTATTGTATCTTTCAATACAATAGGACATCAGGGCAGAAACTCAACACAGGAATCTGGAAGCAGGAACTGAAACAGAAGCTTGGAGGACCCAAGGATGGCACTGCCCTTTGTGACCAGAGCCTTTCTACATCAATCATTAATCAAGAAAACTGACCTTGCACTTGCCTACAGGCAAACACGAAGGAGGCATTTTCTCCCTGAGGTTTCCTCTTCCCAGATGATCCTAGATTGTGTCAAGTTGAGAAGAACAACAAAATCACCACCACCACCACCAAACACCAAAAACCCCAAAACAAACAAAAAAGCAAGCAAGACAGGGGTGAGGGAGTGATAAGCAGATGAGCTAATAGGTTCCTGATGTGATTTGCAGGCCAGGAGAGAGCAGCTGACCTCTGCTGTCTATTTATCTCTGTGGCCTTTTAGTTGTGGTTGTGAATCTGGATCTCCTTTATAACTGTGGCTAATGTGTAAGGTGTTTGGTGTGCACTGCTCACTGTTGCTGAAAACACACAGTAAGAAAGTTATAATATGCATAGCTTGAAATAATTACTGTGATAATTTCCACTTTGTGGATGAGGTCAAAAACGTAATGAATCTAGGGGCTGGGAGTGCAGTTCAGTTGGACGAGAGTTTTTGATGTGCATGAGACCCTAGAGTATCTTAGTAGGACACGGACTGGATACAGAGGTGCATGCCTGTAATTACAGCACTCAGGACAGAAGCAGGAGAAACAAGAACCCAAGGTCTTTTTCAAATACAGAGAATTCAAGGCCCCTAGTTTGGGCTAAATGAGACCCTGTTTCAGATGAACAGGGAACACAGATGGGAGGGGTGGGGTCAATTAGAACCCCGATTCTTAACTAATATGTACCCCACACCAAATACTTTTGGGGGGAACTTATAATGGTAACTTCATAAAAATGCCTCTGACATCCCACAACCATTACTCTGCTCTTCCCTGAGAAATGGTTAGTTGAAATACTTCCTCTTGTTTGACATCATGAGGGATGACTGGTATTCAGACAGCAAGGTGACAAAGGATATTACCCCCCCCCCCCCACACACACACACATAAATAAAGGTATTACCATATGAGACAGAGTGAGGAAGTGGTGGGTGTACTACTTAGAACTGCTTCAAGATGCTAACCTTCCCATCACCTAATTAAGACCAAATAGGCATAGACTCAACACTGGCGGTTCCTGTTAAAGCATGCTGCAGTTTGGACATAAAGTTGCACCCCAAATTCTCATTGAGGGGGGTGAATGGACCAGGAGGATGCTGA